TTTTGGCGCATAAAATCCGAGGCCACGCACACGTTCCTTTGGTTCCTCCTGTGTTCTGATTGGTGGCCTCGCGTTACATCCATCTGGTCCTGACGGGGATTGGCTCCTGTCCCCCGCTCCCTAATCCAAATCGGTAACAATGCTAGCAACACAACGCATTATTCTGCAGCAAGTCTTTGAATTAGCTGTTTGCGTCCCAGTTGTACTTTAGCCCGTTAGCTCGGTGGCAAACGAGAAGCTCGTGTTGCATATTAACAGTTACATACAGGAAGCAGGATCATGTGTGGTTTCATTTTGAGAAGTGCAGACTGTTTATCGAAACAGAAAAGAAAGAAGAGTGCCTTTATTTTGTATCTGTAGCAAGTACTAACCGCAAGTAAAATTGCAGGGCAGCTTCTAACACAAGTTGTCAGAGTATAACAGTTAGGGAGAGAGGCTGGCTGGTAGCACAGTTGCATGAGTACTGAGATGGTATGGACTTATGTAAATGAATGGGTGAAGAGAGATTGACAAAGAGAGTGATGAATAGTTGAATGTAGTAGACCGAGAGGTGGGCCAAGGTCTGGATGGAATAATGGTGTAAAGAGAGCATGTGTGTTGAGGGAGCGATTCTAATTTTAAGAAAGAATAAATAATTACTTTTGTATTTTGTGGTCTTTCTAGTTTTCTGTTTGTTGAAATTAACCAATTTAGGACACTCAGAATATACTTTGTCTCGACTCTGGCTGCAAGCAATTTAAAATATTTACTTACAAACTAGCCCCATTGGGATGTACAGTCTGCACTTCAGGAGGAGGTAGGCAGTGGTTTCCCTTCATACCCTTTAGAAAAATTACATCAGAAAGTTTATACAGCCACTAAACCTGATTTTAGCTGTCGGCCTACTAGTAAACAGCTAACAGAGCAAAAACAGACTTATATAAGACATATTTCAAATATGTTAGACTAATAGTTGCTAGTATTGCCTTACAGCGTCTAACTAATGTTCCTTCTTGAGCTAAATAAAGCTAATATAGCATACATTTTTTATAGTTGTCATATGTACAAGTTAATGGATTATACATTTATTGTTGTAATAAAAACATTTGTTAACTTTAAATAACTAATCCTTAACTAGTATCTTAGATTCTTAGTTTAGAGGGAAAAGTGGAGAAAGAAGCTAACACTAACAGTTTGCTAACATTAAAGTGCGTTAGCATCGAGGTATTAAACTGCTATTAAAACCTGCCATTAAAATCATGCTTTTTAGATAAATATATTTCTATTTAAAATGTGAGGTTTATGGTTTTGTGTGAAAAAAGTACTGTACAACTGGAACGCAATTAGCAAGCGCATAACTAGCTTGTTGCTAGCTAGTTTAACGCGTTTCAAGGCCTCAATAAAAGCCAAAATGGGCATCATTTGCAGCGTGTACATATTGTTTCGTCTTTTTGCACAAATTTAAATACTGCAAAATATATGCGTTTTGCTTTGCAGTAAGCTCCGATTCGGTCTCGTCATTTCTTTCTCCTATAAAGTCTCTCACTCATTGTCAGAGCAACAAAAGAAAAAAGAAAATAAAAACACCCCCACCCCCCAAAACAAAGCATAATAATAAAGAGACATGCTTGTTGTATAAAAGTTTCTGAGAAGACTGTAGCGCCACCTGTTGGTGACGCAGTGGTATTGCGTCGTGATGAGAGGTAACAGAGCTGTAGCTTATCCTGCTGAGATCAACAGGCCGCCAACGGGTAACAATGCTGCCACAAAAACATTTAAAAACATCCAGATTTAGATGTGTAAAACAGGTTTTGATCTGTTATGTGTGACTGGGGTTTGGGGAGAACTTTACCAAGTGGTGATTTCATTATGATGTACTGATAATAAGATGCTAATGTGGTAATAAGACAGGATATAGTGATGCTAACGGTGCTACCCTGCACCGTTAGCATCACTATATCTGAAATCATGTCTGAAATCACTGTTTGGATTTGATTTTCAGATTATTGCAAAAATAAGAAACTAAAGCTTTCAGATTTGAAATAACATTTTCATATTTCTAACAACATATGATATGAAATTAAGTTAAACTATAGGAACATCTGTCCTCTGCATTTTACCCAGGAGCAGTGAACACCACAGTACAACACCTGGAACCACCTGCAGATTTGTTTGATCAGAGTTTATGCAGGAATTTTACCTATTATACATGTTTTCAGAGGTAGGAGAAACCGGAGTACCTGGAGGAAACCTACGCAGATGTGGGGAGAACATGAAAACTGCACTCACTAAGACCCCTTTCTAACCAGGATTCGAACCCAGCTCCTTCTTGCTGAGAGGCGAGAGTGCTGAACACTCAGCCATCCTTGCTCCATTGGTGGATATTCGAGCTTGTCGAGTAAAATCTACTCAAGGTCAAGATAAGAACACAAGTAATTGTTAAATGATTTAAACTTGCCTAGGTATTTTTTTACAATGCCTTTTGTGTGTATATTTTTCAGCTGCTGATTGGCGAGCAAAAAAAGGCCACAAAATCTCTGCTATGATTCGAGAGATCCATTTTCATCGTTGGATTTGGTAAAGACTTAACCAAAATAATCAGAAATGACTTAGACTTAACTATCCCATTCTTTTTAAAGGGGTTCGACACAAATGCAGAAGGCTGGTCTTTACACTACCGCCAGTCTTAACATATACATTTTAAAAAGATAAACATAATATTTAAAAGCTGTGATGAAATAAGAGTAATTGTGTTTAACCATGTTTTCTCCTAAAAGTTATTGCATGCATTTACATGGTCATAATAGCAAGACTTTGATCTCCTTACTACGTTTTGTAATTTCAGATACAAAGTGCATTCATTAACAGTCTCCTCTTACAATAAAAAGATATAATGTATTTTACAACTATGTACAAATGCACACGGGGAATGTAAGGGGTGTAAGTGGCGTCTCATTAATAAAAGTGCATTCAAATAAATCTGGGAAGCGCTATCATTCTACCTAGCTATCTATTTAGAGGTATCTGTGGTTTAGAGATGTTCAAGAGGTTAAAAACACATGTTGTACAAGTTTACAGCTGTCTAAACGTTCAACTTTCAAAGCTCGGAGTGCAGTTAGACATCATCTGAGGCTAACAAGAGCTACAGCCGCTTAACATTTATTTTCAAACTATCTGAATGATATGAAATTGTAAATACTTTTTGTAGATTGCAGTTACTTTATAGCAGTAGTAGAAGCAGAGCTAGTTAGCGTGCTAGCTAACTATGGGAGCATGTGTTGTTGTAAATGTGCTTCATAAATAAAGAGGACATTGACAGTGTAACTAATAACAGACAGTTCCTATAAGTAAGCCTTTAGTTGGGACGCAGAAGACAAATATTGGGCAAACTTTTGTTTAGCCCTCACTAATAAACAGCTAATTATCTCTTTAAGCACTTATATTAGTCTTTATTCTACATGGCCTTATTCAACATCTATCTAACTTCTAACTGACACTTCCCCATGTGGGGTAGGGTTCACTAATTAACTGAGAGCTAATCTAAAGAGTGATCAAGTAACTAAAGTAACCATCCACGGTTTGGCCTCTCGATCCATTGGCTGCTCGAGTAATTTGAGTGAGTGCAATTTCATATCTTCTTACTACTACTGTGGTTGGATTCAATTTAGAAACAGTGATAGATTTCATTAATGTTTGTTCTTTTGAAACCCCAGACACAGCAGATCACAAAAAAAACCCCCGCCATTTTCTCAAGTCGTGCGTCAAAAGTTGCAATGGCACTTTCAACTCCGGGTTTTAACGAGTGAACCGCGGAGATGCAGATTGTCAAGGCAGAAAACGGAAGAAAATTGGCAACAAAACAAATGTGGCACTGGAGAGTTTGGCATTTTCCCCTTGTGTTAGTGACTGCAGCGCGGTGAACCTGTGGATTCCTGTGTTTGGGACCTAGAAAAGTTCTGGATTCAAAGTTCAAAGTGTTGTTGCCGCAGGCGCATGAGGTTGGCGTGTGTGGGTTGATTTTCTTCATCTGTGTAGCTTCTAAAACTGTTCGGTTTTGTTTGTGAAGGTAGATGCGGTTTCGGTTCAGATGTGTTGCAAGAACTGAACTTTCTGCTGACTGGGATTCAGGTTTTTCTTATTCATAAAAGGAGAGATTTTAGTTAATTTAGAACCAAAAATCTAGAAATATTTTTGTAGTTTAAGAAATGCAACATTACTGCTGCTTCTGTTGCCTGAAGAAGTCATTTGCTAAAACAGGATATTACTGTAGAAAAATAGCCCAACAAAAATAGTACCTCTCCTTCTCTCAGAGCTTTTAACTTAGTGCACATGGGTGAATAGTGATAACATTTAAATGCAATAAATAATAAAAAAAATAGTGGTAATAACTAGAATGTGTTTTCAAAAACCAAACCCTTAATAGTGTGGTCAAATATTTTCAATCCCTTCTCCCACAACATATATTTATAGTATTGAGTTCAGCGGGTTAGAAAAGTGTATAAAGTGTGAGGGTTTCACAGCTGCTACTGAGAGGATTTACCTTATAGTGGGTTATTTTTTAGAACACATCACCCCTGTCAAAAACCAGGAACCACAGTATTTGTTTTTGTAAATGACTTCTATTAAGACTGATTTGTTAGATCGAGGTATCAGTTGAATTATTTTTTCTACCATGTATTTAAAAACCATTTAAAATAAATGTACTTCTACATTTATATTTAACACATAAAGACCAGCGCTGCTTGACTTTTCCTGAACTAAACTTTTTGGCCCATATTTGATAGTAACTTAAATTTCACTCTATTTAAAATCCTCTGTAGTGTTTTGCAAATAAAATGCCTGCATATATTTAGAAAAACTGCATCACTAGACTCATAATAACAAAATCAGATCAATAAAATTTATCCTGGTTCTAGTTTAGAGTAAAGTTACTCAGCTGTGAGAAAGTTTCTTCCAGTTCTTGTAACACATGTTTGTATTTTAAAGCGGTTCGATCGCAGCCTCAGTGTCGCCTCCTGTGGTCAGTCGGGGCCGGTGGTGGACACAGAGGCCTGAGGACCGTCTCCGTAGCCTCCCCCTCCTCCCCCCTCAGGCTCCTCTTGGCTGGGGGAGGCCTCGTCGCTGGGGCCACCTCTGGACGTCACCATGGTGGTCTCTGGGGAGGCGCTCTGGGCCTCCTGGGGAGCACAGCCGGGATGGTTCTTACGGAAGTGCTGGTTCAGGATGGCCTGCGACAGACGGGCAAGTTTAACAGTTAAAGGTTAAACAATTTGACATTAAAGCAGACATTACAACAATAACGTTCATTATTACTGTGTGAAAATAGACGTCCAAACTCCTAAACATTTGTTTATGGCTAATATTATGCAAGTCCTCCCACTGAGATGTTCGCCATAGGTAAACCTCAACTAGGAGAGACAGAATGAAGGGGTAAAATGTGTGCAGTGTCATTAAAATCCTGCGGTGCCTGGAAGGGGAAGCAGTGGTGTGGTACCTAAAGGGGGGGGCTGTTGTGTGGTACCTGAAGGGGGGATGCTGTTGTGTGGTACCTGAAGGGGGGGGCTGTTGTGTGGTACCTGAAGGGGGGATGCTGTTGTGTGGTACCTGGAAGGGGAAGCTCTTGCCGCACACGTGGCAGTGGAAGGGCTTGTTGCCCGTGTGCTTGCGGATGTGGTACTCCAGCTGGTCCTTGCGTGTGTACTTCTTGCCGCAGAGGCGGCAGACGAAGGGAGTGATTCCCATGTGCAGGCGCATGTGTCGGTCCAGGCTACCCTTCTGGTTGAAGGACTTGCAGCAGTAGATGCAGGTGAGTCTGGGATTGTATCGGTACCAGCGGTCCCCCACCTGCTCCCTCAGGTAGTCCTCGTACCCCCCCATGTCAAAGGTGGTGCTCTCCTCGCCCTGAGACACACACATCTCACCTGAGACCACAACGACAAGTCCAAAGAAGCAGCAGCAGGAGGCGCTGACAACATGTGCGTATTTTTATCTGCTTTTTCATGTGGGATACTAATCTCCAAACGTACTTTAAATTTCAATGTATCAGAACGCAGATCGAAAAACATAAAATAACGGATGTAGAAGGGAACCAAAAGCACATTGTTAGAAAATCATAGCAGTGAAGCAATTTGTCTGTAGTTTAATTTAAAGATTAAGATGAAGAGATTCAGCATTTGTCCCACATTGGGGAAATTTCAGTGTTGCATCACAAGTTAAAGAACAGAAGGAATGAGGAGCACACAAGATAAGTCTAAGTTAAGTATGATAGATCTTTAATGACACTTGACGCAACTTGTTGTTTTGGTCTGAAGGTTGAAGCTAAAATTTCTGTTGGCACTGAGGCAGATGCTCAGAGGAGCATCCTTCATCTGTGGTTTAAAATCCCTCGCTGCAAAACTCGTTGCGTCTTGAAAATGTCTTCAGCTGCGACACAATCCCAGACCTCTGTATCTTTTGTAATTTTCTCCAGTATAGCACAATTGTGGTTTCTGTTGTGTTACCTGGGAGCTGGGTTGCCTCAGTTCGTCCGCTCTGTTTGGAGACTCACTCTTGGCTCTCTGTCGGTCTGCCAGCACCACCACACTCCCAGTCGGACTGAACCTGGAAACAGGAGTGAGTTTACAACCCAGAACAATATAATATGGATTCTCAAACCGGTCTAAGGAGTTTTGGTCTAGTCTCTGTCCTCCAGACCTGACAACGTTTTCAAAGGCGTCTCGTAACTTTCCCTTATTACTCAAACATTGTAATTGTAAATATAATCGCCATCATTCGTGTCTATTATGTCAGACACTCTGCAAATGTTTGACTTTCACTCAGGCGCTGCAGGAGAAAGTTTCCCCAGGGCTCTTAAAAACACCATGATTTCTGTTCGTCTTTACTTTGTGAAACATGCAGCGAGGGACTGTGTGTTACATACACACATTTGTAACACACGCTTCTCCCTGCGCTCTTTAATGCGTCTCTGCACATTGTCTCGTTCCAACCAGATTGATTAGCACTGGTACCAGCGCGGAATGGACTGGTCACTCCTTATCAATCAGATTAAATTAAAGTGGAGATTTCGGTTTCCCCTTTGCAGAGATGGAGACATGCGACTCGACTCGTGCTATATAATATTGTCTTGTGTGCCGTGGGAAATTCGCCTACTTTGTCTAAAAAAAAATGCATCCGTCATTGGCGAGTGCTGACTTGTTTTGACCTGTGGAGTAACCACGTATTACTTTTTCATATCAGTGGGTTTTTCTTATGAGTCTTTCCTTGCCGATGCAGGAGGGTCTGTTGGGCAGTTAGTGTCCAACTAGAAGGACTGTGGTGATGATCCAGGACACTTTAACATTCTACAACATGTATGGACATTTTTCAACATGTGTTCTATATTCTTTATGTGTTTTAACCCTTTAAGCGCCAAAGTCGCAATATTGCGACAAGCAACATTGCTCACTTAAACAGGCTGTATGTAAAAATGTGGTGCAGAATCTTGTTAATACTTTTCACCAGGAGTTAGTGGACATGTGTGCCTGTGATATGAGCAGCATTTGTGGGTGTGGTTATATTGAAAGTTTTTGAGTAAATTGAGTTCGTAAAACACCTGCGGCGCAGCAGCGCGGAGGCAAAGCAGCAGCGGTAGAGCTGAGAGGAGCGAGAGCAGAGCAGAGGGACAGAGTGTTTTTATTTACTCACGAGGTCTTCAGTACCAGAGAAGTACTTGGTCTGGTACTGGCTGACTCAGAATCAGAGGAGGAAGACATGCAGGTGTCCAGTGAAGCAGACACGGACATTATTAGTGACGGGGAGACCGCGCTCCATAGTCCACAATCAGCCCCTGTACAGCGGCTGCTTGTCCTCTGTGTGGCCGCGATAGAAGCATTCTGTGAACGCCAAGCAGGGGCCGTGGTGGAGGGGACAGGGGGATCATAACACCGGGCATGTGGGAGAAAGTAGCGGGGGTAGACATCCACGGGGAACACGGGAGACGCGGGAGAAGTCGCGGGAGAGCCGCGGGAAAAAAAAAACACATTGCTAATCGCGTTCACTGCCTTTACCAATAGTGATGATGAGGATGAAGGCAGTTCTTGAGAGAAAATAATCCACAAAAGTGGATCAGAAGTGTTGAAGAGCCTGTTGTATGTTGTTGAGACGATCTGACAAGTTCTGAGCCCATTCATTTCATCTCTCTGTTTCTAAACGGTAAATCCTTGAGCCACATTTCCACTGAGAAAAATAGTAAGCTCACCAATTCTCTGAAAGGGAAATATTGAAACCAATCTCCAGATTTCATGACTGTAAACTATAAAGAGTGCTGTCTTGATCACTGAAGGTCTTTGAAAATAATACAATTCCATATGGCCGCGAACCAGTGCTAAAACATTATCTATAATCTGGATCAGGGAATTTATTTCTATCCCAAATTCATTTTATACTAAAGATATTTCACATTGACTGTTTATAGTATTCCCTGATCTCAAATAACTCCCAAGCTACAGCTTTTTGAAGTCTTTATACAATAATTAACATTTTCCAAAATGGCCGCCACCTTGATGACGTCACAATATGCAAATTAGATGACGAATCAACTTCCATCCCAAAGTTTGGTTCAAACTGAAGATATTTCTAATTTACAGTATGCCTTTATCTCAAACCATTTTAAAGTTATAGCCTTTTGAAATCTTGAAATCAAAATTGTATATTTTCTTGAAAAAACTCTGGCGCCTAAAGGGTTAACTGTTGATTCTCTGATCTGTGTTGGTGATTTCAATGGTTTTGTTAAGTCCTCTGAGATGACTTCTGTTGTGATTTAGGGCTATACAGGAATAAATTGTATTGTATTGTATTGTAGGTGGCAGCAGATAGGTAATTACTTTGAGACATAAGAATTGGACCTGACCACCGGATGTCACAGGTAGCGGGGTTAGAGGCATTGTGGCCCGTGAGAAGTGAAAGTGATTGAGACATTTTTGAAAAGGAACAATGCCATTTCTGAACAGGATTCACATCCTACGCTCTGACCCCAGGGCAGCTGTGGCCGCTTTGCACTGACAGCCGCTTTGACAACAGTTCAGCGAACGCACATTCGTAACGTGGTACCGGGCGCGGACCATAGACGCGTGGACAGAACCATGAACGTGCGGGCAGAACCATAGACACGCAGACAGAACCATGGACTCGTGTCCATGACCATCTCCCGTGTTTCTCCGTGTCTCTTGTTTACTCATTGTATTGAGAAATATTAAACAAAAGCTTAATGTCAAGGCCTGGATGTCTATTTAAGCACTTTGATATAGACTTTATATTGTGAATATAGGCTACAGATTATATATTTTTACATTTTCTCCTGGTGGTGTGCCGCAAGATTTTTTCAATGAAAAAAGTGTGCCAAGGCTCAAAAAAGGTTGAAAAACACTGCCCTAAAGAATTGGACTTGACTTTGAGTTTTTGGACTTTGTGGCACAAATGTCCTCAGAGGGACAGGAAGCAGATCTCCCCATTAAGAACTATGTAAATATTCACTGATTCAGAGTCAAAATGCCCTTTTTCTCTAGTCTCTATTATGCTAAAATTTATTTCTCTAATGGGTTTTGATCATTAGGAAAATGCCTAAAAAGGAACGGAAGAAATGAGTTAGCCTGTGAAGCAGCTGACAGTCCGCAGTCATCACTTTGACTTTCATAGATACAATGCAGTATTTTTGTGTGGTATACAGCTGTAGTAACCAAGGCAACAGGGATAAAAAACTGATTAAAACATTTTTAAATGCCAAAGGTTGTCTCAAACCAACTAAAAGCAGTCTATACTATCCAAGTCATTGTGTAAGAGTGATTGTACATTGTTAGGGGACTGTGAGGACCAGGGTCTGGGACTGTGAGGACCAGGGTAATGTCTGAAGTTGCATCCGAGCTCTGTGCCCCAAGGACTGCTGAATTCTTTGCAGTCCCCCGTTGTTAGCTTACTGCTGTTAGCTTACTGCTGCGGAGCTTTCCCTTGGAGCTTAAGTCCGAACTTTTTTTATTTAAAGGCTCAATAAATCACCGAAAATTTGATAAGAAAAGATAAGATAAACCTTTATTAGTCTCACAGTGGAGAAATTTCTGAAATTGTGCCCTATTTATTATATTTTTGATCAGAACTGTCATCTTGGACGTGGTTCTGTTGATCCCAAAGTGACTCCACTATTGTCACTATAAAAGCCGCTTAATCCTCCTCGTTGTTGAAAACATTTGATTCATTCAAACTATACTATACACGACGTATGCTGCATTGAAAATAGTTTAGAAAATAGTAGCTATGTGTCTTGCAACGATGATCAGCCTCATTATTTATTTGCATTTCACAAGAATGACAGAAACATGTTTGATTTAAACCTGAGACACTAGTTAATAGTCTGACCATAACAACACTTCTCTAACCTCCTTGATTCTCACCTCGGTATCTCAGGGATTAGTACAACCCATATTTCTCACCTCTCTTTCTCCTGCATTAGAAGAACCCACATTTCTCACCTCACTGTTCCTCTCTTTCTCCTGGATTAGAAGAACCCATGCACCTCTCTTTCTCCTGTATTAGAAGAACCCATGCACCTCTCTTTCTCCTGGATTAGAAGAATCCATACACCCATCTTTCTCCTGGATTAGAAGAACCCATACACCTCTTTCTCCTGGATTAGAAGAATCCATATTCCTCACCTCTCTGTTTCGCTGAAGCTGCTTGACGGCTGGACGCTGCTGCGTGACGCCATGGCCCCCACAGCCGTCGCCGTGACGACTGTGCTGCGTCCCGAGCTGTCAATCATCACCGTGCCCTCCTCCACGGCCCCACCCTCCTCCGTCTGAGACTCCGCCCCCATCCAGTCCTCCACCCGCTCGGTCTTTATGTGCACGCGGTCCACTGCGGGCCCAGAAACTGTGGTCAGGACAACTACAACCAGAACACAACAGCCAGTTACTACAGTTACACCAAGTATGAAAGTGTTTGATCTAAAGAACATTAACTGTACTTTCTAGACTATGAGGCACACCTGTATATTAGCCACAATTTTTCATGTTTAATGTAGTGAAGAGACGGCCGTTTTAACTGATCACAACATGATTTGACAGCGTAGCAGTTTTTGATGATTTTACATGTTGTGAAAGTTTGACTAAAATCACCAGTTACAGACAAAAAGAGGTGTTTGAAAAAAAATAAAAACTGATTTCTCATACTGGATGTGGTTTCCTTCAATGAAACAGCAAAACAACACATACGAATATCATATAATATATTTTACTGAGTAAAGTAGAGTAGAGTACAGTAAAGTAGAGTAGGGCTAAGTCGGCCAAGTTTTATATGTGTTGAAGCATAGTTCATTGAGACCCCAACTCACCGTCCTGGCTGCAGTCGTCGGCACTGGCACTCCTCTCGGGGTCGCTACTGGTCTCCACGTACCACTGTCCTGCGCGGTTGATGCGGAGGATTGGCTCTTTGGCCCCGCTGTGCTCCACTGGGGGAGGAGGGCTAGGGGCCTCCTCTGGTGGAGTCTCTGCTTCCGCCGCTCTGGGCCCCAGCAGACGCAGACTGTGACCAGAACGAACCACGGACTCCAGAGACCGGGCCCTCGAGGATCCTGAGAAGAGAGAGGAGAGAGAGGAAGAGAGAGAGAGAGAGAGAGAGGAAGAGAGAGAGAGAGAGAGAGGAGAGACGGAAGAGAGAGAGGGAGAGGAGGGAGAGAGAGAACACTGTCAGAGCTGCTGCAGGTATGTACACTTGGACTGTGCCAGAGAAATAACATGTCATGTTACATGACTCTGACACACTATCTACTGAGGACAAAATGGAACTGATGTCGTGAAGACAGAGATGTTTCTTTAAGCGCTGAACACAGAAAAATAAAATACTTGGTGCATCTATTAGTAAAGTGATTCAGATTATAACAGACCAGACCTGGGAAAAGTGTGGCACCGGGGCCACATTTGGCCTGATTTAAATGAATGGGAAACAATAACCAATGTGACCTCATCCCTCTCAGCTGTGCAATTTCCCACCTCCCTGTCTCCTGTATGCGCCTCCTCTCCTCCCCTTACTCTAGCTCAACCAGGCTGATCTTCAGGGGGGGGGGGGGGGGGCCCAGACAACAGAGTCCTTGAGGGCCACGATACAGACCACATACCCACATAAAAAGGTTTATATTACGGTAGGTAAAAACATACATTTAATAAGGTAAACTGCAATATATATTACTTGTTTACATTAATATAAATTAAATGTAGATAATTACTTATTTTTAACAATAAATGGATAGGCCTGGGGCCTGCCTGGCAAACTATAGTCTACCATAGAAAGTTGTGAGTACTTCAGTCCTTATCGTCACACAAAGCAATGAGGAATAATTAAGCATGTCTTTTTATAAGCTTGTTTACTACACTCATGTTATAATAACAAAAACTACCTATAAAAGTGTGTTAGTCCTACAAAATCTAATCTTTCATTTGGCTCTCAGTGTTCATATTGTCTAAATTAAAGATTAGGCTCTTAGCTTTAATCTGCAAAAAAATTCTTGTTTTTACCTTTTACCATTCTTGAGCAATCTGTCATATAACATAATATATAGTTTAATCCAAAATGACGCTGCAATTTAACCACTAGACCACTATTACATTCAACACAGATGCTGCCCCAAGCAGGGGTTTTAACTGTTAATGAAGAACGTGGCAAGTTTTGTATCAGACGAAAACTTTTTATCCGCCAACTCGTCACTGCAGGTAGCTGTTGTTGCCGTAATTATAATAGATCCATGGTTGTAGCCTGTACAAGTCGACCGCTTGTGTCAAATCAGTCGGCCCTCGGGGGCCCCCTTCCGGTTTGGGGGCCCCAGGCAGCTGCCTGCCTTGCCTATTGGCACGGGACAACCCTGAGGGGGAGGGGGACTCCCCTCTCTCCCGTACTTGCCTCCTCTCTCTCCTCCTCTAGCTAAGACAGGCTCTCTCTCACCTGTATGCGCCTCTCTCACCTCCCTCTCCTCCTCCAGCTCTGCCAGGCTGATCTTCAGGTGGATTCCCTCTCCTCCTCCCTCTCACTTCTCCCCTCCCTCTCACCTGTACGCGCCTCATCTCTCTCCTCCCTCTCCTCCTCCAGCTCAGCCAGGCTGATCTTCAGGTGGATTCCCTCCAGAATCTGCGTACAGCGGTCGATGATGTGTTGCATCTGTAAGAAACTGGCAGCGGTCAGATAACTGATGATGTCACTGAGCTGCAGACAGAGGCGGCCCGTGTAGCAGAAGGACAGCAGCTGTTCGAACACACAGGGGTTTCTGATCACGGTGAGGGACACGGTGCTCATCTGGCTCAGAGACATGTGGTCTCGGAAGTACGGCGAGCTGGCAGCCAGCACCACCTTGTGCGCTCTGAAGCTCTGGCCCTGAACGTGGACCACAATGTCACAGAGACGTCCCTGCACCCGCAGTGCGTTCAGCTGCATCAGCACCGAGTTACTGAAGTCTGGGATGTCCACCTGGATGCTGCCTGACCGCTCCATGGTATGACCTGAAACACAGAGGTCTGAGTTTTAACATCTCCGTGGCGGTCCTCAGAACAGACCTGTTCAACTTCAGGCCCCGAGTCTGAGTCCGGTCCTCTGAGCAGTCTACTCTGGTCCACCAACCAAAATACAATACATTTATTTGTTTATCTTGTTTCAGTTCAGGTTTACGCTGATGATGCAATCGTACTTGGAATAAGCTTTGTGTAGATGTGACATGAAGACATCAAACACTCACACCCTGGTTCATACATAACCTCTTAAATCACTTGTTTGATCAGTGGCATTTGTGTCAGAAGTGAGTCCAATAGATTTACAATAAATAAACATACAGGTTACTATATCCTGGTGCAAAACTACGAGGCAAATATCACACCTTTTATACATTATCTCGTGTGTGTCTCGTGTGTACATTTTGATTCAAAGCAAGAATGTGTTTGAAGGTGAGGTTTCGAAATACATTGATATTTTCCAACTCTGCGATAATCATACAACACCAAACAAATCAACTAATGCTCTGTCGGTCAATTATCAAAGATATGGTTAGCTATAGCCTAAGTTTTCTAGCAAAAAGCAGCAGTTACCATTATAGAAGAGTAATTGAAACAGGAATATTCTGCTCATGCCTTTTTCCAGCCCTGAACATGAAAACCCCTGCTGTAAAATAAATATATTCTCAGAGGCTTTAACATCCTCCAAGTTATTCCAACAGTTAAAGCGATAAAAACAAACCAATTCTTGGGAACAAAGTTTCCAAACTTCTGGTTTGATCTGTCATTAGTATTGTCCTGATTTGTTTTATTTAAGTCCTAGACTTCTTTTGTTGTGCCATGGTTTATTACTAGTTCAGTTCAGTTCAGTCCAGTTTTGTGCCACTTTCATTCACTGGTTTAATACTCTATAAGATATGTAAAATTTGCAGATAATTCCGAGAAGATTATCTTCCTGAAGCACATATCTTTGCCACCTCCAACCAACTCTTCTGACTGACTTCTATTGTCTATTGTCAGGGACATTTATGTAACATTTGGAGAAAACACTTTTACTCAAAATGTGCTGCTGCCCCCCCCCGCAGCTGTTTGGCACCACAGCTTTGCCAAATCTTTACACTGCCTCACTGCTCAGTTTGTGGCAAATACTGGAGTTAAATCTGAGCAGAAACATTCAGGCTCTGCTGCATTGAAGGGAAAAGAGACTTTGAAAATAGCTTAAAACTAAGGATAAAATAGCTCCACAAAACAAGGATTTGCATTCATACAAACTCCTAATCTAGACCAGTCCTAGACCAGGTCTAGAACTGGACCAAATCTTGTTTTAAATAGGTCAAAATTGAGCTAGAACTACAACCCAGTGAGCTTTTACTTAATAAGGTTTGGATTTAAGAGACAGGAATTCAAGGGCTTACAGTAGCTTTATTTAGGAATATGTTTGTGGCTCATGTTTCACAGTCAGAAGGTTGTGGGTTCAATCCAAGGGCCTCTATCTGGGGAGTTTGCATATTTATCCTAAAGTCTGGGTGAGTTTCCTCCGGGCGCTCCAGTTTCCTCCACCACCCAAACCTTTCAGCAGCATGAATGTGGTGACAGAGTGAACTGAGTCAATGACACACGCTCTGTCGCTTTTCTCACCACTTATTCTTATCATATAGTTGAATAGGGCAGCAGAAAACTATTTTTTACTTTATTCCATCTTATCAACCTTAGATTAATAGTCAGGCAAGGCAGGTTCATACACAAGATAAGTGCTAAACAAAACAAGATAGAAACAATTACATTTAACCTTATTAATCACAGAACAAAAGAGTGAACCCACAATCCTTCAGTTGTTGCAGTTAAACAACTGATTTAACCTGGATTTTATCATTGTCAGTGAAGAAGCCGGTCTCACATTTTCAGGAAGACTGTTCCAGATATTAGCTGCACAAATCTGCATGTTTAATCCCAACTCTGGGCACCAGCAGGGGGCCAGTCCCTGTGCTCCTCAGAGTTGGTTCATATGGCACTAACATGCCACAGATGTACTTGGATGCAAGGCCATGGAGAAGAGCTGCTTTAAAGTCTGTTCTCTGAGCCACAGGAAGCGAGCGCAGAGACCTGAGACCTGGACTAATGTGATCCTGTAAGTAATCCATTGTTCCATTTTAACATTGTTAACTTCACATTTGTCAACACAGAAACATTTCGATGTGAAACAAGAGCAGGAGATAATGCTGCTCTTTGTGTTGATGCACAACAGTTTCACAGAGTTTAGGTAGTATACATTATTTCATAGGAATACTACACAGTTGGGGTAATGAATGATATTTAACTGAGCTAACTAAATTATATTCAAATCTTTTTTGTCCTTCAATTGTCTCTATAAACCGCTTCATTTTGAATGACTTCAAACAACATATTTGCTAACTAAACAAGAAGACGATAATTTGATTCTTATTCAAAGTGAGTCATTGTTTCCTTATTTTAAGTAAACTTGGTCCATTATCTACTCTTATTTTAAAGCAGTTCAAATATGCTCAGGCCAAGTTGAACATCACAGATCAAAACAACTTATTTTTGCCAGGTTTAGTGCCGTGACAATTCCTCTACTGTATGTTAGAAACTGGAACAAAAGAACATGTCTTTAAATCAAGGTGTTTTTTCTTCACAATCACATTATAAACCGTGACATCTCCCGTCTGCACCAGGCCCAGGTAAGCGACCCTCACCTGCTGCTGGAGGCGGGAGGACAGGGCTCTCTCTGGGGCTGCGGTGACTGCTCCTCCCGGGGGTCCTACCACCGCGGCTGTCGGTGCATCTCGGACGGGACGGGCCCAGCGCTGGAGGCGGGTGGAGGGCGATGCGAAGCCCGTGTGACAGCGCTCCTATCGGGCTCGGGACGTCTCAGGGACCCGCGGGGGCTCGGGTGGTGGGTTGTGGGGGTGCCATGGCGGTGGCAGAGGCCCGGGGGAGGAGGCGTTTGCAGTCAGGGGAGAAGCACGCTCACACGGCGGCGGTGAGAAGCAGCGGCTGGGCCCTGGACTGCAGGAAGCGAGCAGGAAGAGAGGGAAGAGCAGAGGCATCATGGGAAGTGTAGTTCCGGGTGGATACGGGAGGACTGCAGGGAAGACGAGAGAGACTGAGGAGATAAGACTACATTAACAAAGATGCAACGCGATCCAGCTGTGCATTTTGGGAGTTGTATTTTGACAGAGTGGTGTTTTTTTTGATGATTGATCTAAGATGAAGAGAGATCCTTTATTTGTCCCACAGTGGAGAAATGTCAGTGTTGCATCATCAGCACAAGATAAGTGAACAATCGCTCTATGATAAAATAAAATCTGTAACTTTACCATAATAAAGAAGCAAGTACAGGTCCTTCAAAAAAAATTAGCATAGTGTGAAAGTTCATTATTTTCTGTAATGTACTGACAAACATTAGACTTTCATATATTTTTGATTCATTACACACAACTGAAGTAGTTTGAGCCTTTTATTGTTTTAATATTGATGATTTTGGCATAAAAGAAAAGAATAATCAAAAATCCCTATCTAAAAAAATGTGCATGTTTCATCCGACCAATAAAAGAAAAGTGTTTTTAATACAAAAAAGTCAACATTTGAACAATGATGTTCAGTCACACACTCAATACTTGGTCAGGAATCCTGTTGCAGAAATGAGGCGTGGCATGGAGGCCATCAGCCTGTGGCACTGCTCAGGTGTTATGGAGCCCCAGGATGCTTCGATTGTGGCCTTAAGTTCATCCACAGTGTTGGGTCTGGTGACTCTCAACTTCCTCTTCACAAAATCGCACAGATTCTCTATGGGGTTCAGGTCAGAACCTAACCCACAGTCAGTAAACCATTTATCAGTGGTTTTGGCACTGTAAGCAGGTGCCAGGTCGTGCTGAAAAATGAATTCTTCATCTCCATAAGGCTTTTCAGCAGATGGAAGCATGAAGTGCTCCAGAATCTCCTGATAGCCAGCTGCCCTTGATAAAACACAGTGGACCACCACCAGCAGCTGACATGACACCCCAGACCATCACTGACTGTGGGTACTTGACACTGGACTTCAGGCATTTTGGCATTTCCTTCTCCCCAGTCTTCCGAATGACATGTAAAATTTGCTTTTCTCCAAAAAAGTACGTTGGGGGACCTTGCATTGAGCAACAGTCCAGTGCTGCTTCTCTGTAGCCCAGGTCAGGCGCTTCTGCCGCTGTTTCTGGTTCTGGTTTCTGAATCTCCTGCACACGTCTGTGCACGATGGCTCTGGATGTTTCTACTCCAGACTCAGTCCACTGCTTCCGCAGGTCCCCCAAGGTCTGGAATCGGCCCTTCTCCACTATCCTCCTCAAGGTCTGGTCACCTCTTCTGGTTGTGCAGCGTTTTCTGCCACACTTTTTCCTTCCCACAGACTTCCCACTGAGGTGCTTTGATACAGCACTCTGGGAACAGCCTGTTCGCTCAGAAATGTCTTTCTGTGTCTTACCCTCTAGCTTGAGGGTGTCAATGATGGCCTTCTCAACAGTCAGGTCGTCAGTCTTACGCATGATTGAGGTTTTGAGTAATGAAACAGGCTGGGAGTTTTTAAAAGCCTCATGAATCTTCTGAATATGTTTAGAGTTAATTCGTTGGTTCAGATGATTAGGTTAATAGCTCGTTTAGATTACCTTTTCATCATATGCTAATTTTCTGAGATAGGGATTTTTGGTTTTTCTCTACTTTTTTTTGCCAAATTCATCAATATTAAAACAATAAAGGCTTGAACTACTTCAGTTGTGTGTAATGAATCTATAATATGAAAGTCTAAAACAATGAATTTTATCACAATATGCTAATTTTGCATAAATCAGAAGAGAAAATCAGAATTAGAATATTTTTTATTGCCAAGGAAGTAACAGGAAGTCACAGACTTGGAAATTGCTTTGGCTCAGTGCAACAGTCAGAGAGAGATAATAAAAATAAAGAATAAAAAACCCTTCTAAGGAATTTCATTTCATTTTTCCCCTCTAAAATAGAGTTACAGTTACTATTTACAATACACAAGTGCACATGGTGCACACAATGTAAGGTGTATTCATGCAAAACTGAGCAGAAGATGAGGCCAGACTTCAGAGGAAAGGAGAAAGCTATTTACATTAAACAGAGATAAAAATACAGAACTGCTGCAGATACAAACCACAGAAAAATTTAAATGTGGATACAACATTCAGGTTGCCATACGGTAAACAAACACACTTCCCCCAGACACAGATCATCCACAGTCTGCAACAGTTCAGAGTAAAAACACCAGTTTTCAGAACTCAGACATGGGGCTTGCATCATTGATGACAACAGGCCAGATTTGGTGACAAACGCATCTAAATGTGAAATACCAGCAGATGGGGTAACGTTGAAGTTGCAAATAAATAGGCAAATCAAGCCATAAGTGTTTGTCCAAACCTGACAGATCTGATCTCAGAGGTTAAGCAGATCAAACCATGTTTAATAAGATAAGAAAAGAGATAAGATAAACCTTAATGATCTCACAATGGAGAACATTTGGCACAGATAGAATCACTCATATTGTGCAAAAAGACAGGAAGTATGTTAAAAAGATAAAAAATATATTGTCTCTTTTGTGCAAGATACATTATATACTATGTAATTTTTTTTTTAAAGTGACTATAGCAGTGCAGTTTTTTTATGGAGGACGTAGGAGTGGACAGTCACCTCAATGCGTAGACCATCAACTACCAATTTTTGGAAGTGCCGGCCTACCTAAAGCACTGGTTGTGTTATATGTTGAATGCTGGGTTGAAAATCGTAAAACTGTTCTTGGTTGGAGCTTGAAAGCACTTGTTTCAGGTGGCACCATCGAGCTCACGCTGGATTTTGTCCTTTCCTCAAACTGAGGAAAGCGTTGACCTCATCCAGCGACCAAGGAATTGTTTCCCCTAAGGTCGTCTTTATAGTTTTCAGCCAGGAAACTTGAGGCATCTTGTTTAGGTTTTCCGCCCGTTAGACGTCCGTTAGACATCCGTTAGACGTCCCGTTAGACATCCGTTAGACGTCCCGTTAGACGTCCCGTTAGACGTCCCGTTAGACGTCCGTTAGACATCCGTTAGACGTCCCGTTAGACGTCCCGTTAGACGTCCGTTAGACATCCCGTTAGACGTCCCGTTAGACGTCCCGTTAGACGTCCCGTTAGACGTCCCGTTAGACGTCCCGTTAGACGTCCGTTAGACATCCGTTAGACGTCCCGTTAGACGTCCCGTTAGACGTCCCGTTAGACGTCCGTTAGACATCCCGTTAGACGTCCCGTTAGACGTCCCGTTAGACGTCCCGTTAGACGTCCCGTTAGACGTCCCGTTAGACGTCCCGTTAGACGTCCGTTAGACATCCGTTAGACGTCCCGTTAGACGTCCCGTTAGACGTCCCGTTAGACGTCCGTTAGACATCCCGTTAGACGTCCCGTTGACGTCCCGTTAGACGTCCCGTTAGACGTCCCGTTAGACTTCCCGTTAGAAGACTTCCCGTTAGACGTCCCGTTAGACGTCCCGTTAGACGTCCCGTTAGACGTCCGTTAGACATCCCGTTAGACGTCCCGTTAGACGTCCCGTTAGACGTCCCGTTAGACGTCCGTTAGACATCCCGTTAGACGTCCCGTTAGACGTCCCGTTAAGACTTCCCGTTAGACGTCCCGTTAGACTTCCCGTTGGTCGTCCCGTTAGACGGCCTGTTGGAAACGCCCGCAAACCGGTGAGAGTCAAGTTGAGTCAAGCCTGTGGAAACGGCCCTTAGGAAATAGTTTTATCACAGAGCAGTCACACTCCTGAACTCTCACCCTGTTGAAGCCCATTAGATGCAAATTAATGTAATGTAATATAATGAATGTACAGTATACTGTATACTGTACTAGCAATAGCAGCTTTGTACAGTCTCACATATATGCAAATACTGCATATTTATCTGTGTTGTAAATATTATCCTATACTTGTGCTATTGCACTACTGGTTAGTCGGCGTGATCAAAGTCTCCACTTGTTAGGATGCGCGAGTTAGGGGTCTGGATTAACTTTCTCCTTTTCAACATTAAACTGTTACATACATAAAGCTCATGTTCAGATGGCCTTTCAGATCCGGGAAAGCGTCAGAGGACTCTTGTCTCTTATACGGAAATTGAATCTTCCTTGATGTTTGACCCGCGCAAGAAGCCATGTGATTCTAGTTCATCTCCTGTTTGGACTCAGAGGTCAGAGGTCAGATCACCTATGATCCAGTCTCTCTCAGTCACATCCGTTCATTTTCGACAGTAAATACATCTTTTGCCACGTCACGATTCGGCTATAAATGTGGACTGGGTTCCGCATCGTGGCAGAGATTATCCTGGTGCTGTCACGGTGGTGAAGCCATGGTGCGAGGTTGTACGACACTGCTGCTCATCGGCGCCTCATGCTGGCTGCTGGCGGCACTGCACTGTGAGGAGGTGGTGGAGGAGAGATCAGCCGACTTTGCCATGAAGGCCCAAGAGGAGACAGAACTGGTGAGGCTCCAGGTTTCTGTACGTGTGTGTTCAGTGTATGTGTGCATGTGTGTGTGTGTGTGTGTGTGTGTGTGTGTGTGTGTGTAAGTATCATTAGAATCTTTGTTGTGTCGGCAGATCGAGGCTTTGCAGGAGGTGCTAGAGAAGTTAAAAGGGAATCTGCTGCCGTCCTCAGAGAAGAAACTTGGCTGGGTCCCACTGGTGAGAACTGTTTACATCCAGGATTTTACAAATGTCTGGGTCTGGGCAACACGGCTTCACCAGATCTCTGTAATGTTAACAATCTCTATGTTTATTAAATCAGTACAATAGAATTAGTTTCATTGAGGACGAGAAGCCACTTTGGGCCACCAGGTTCTGCCAAGATATGGACCTTGTGTTAGCCATGGGTCATCTACATTCGTCATTATTATAGTCTACATCAGCCATTCCCAAACTCAGTAACACCGAGGCCCCCTTAAAAATCTGACGGGTCTGCGTGGCCCCCCAAAATAATAAACAAGAAGACAACATTAAGAATAGGCTCTTCTGGTTATTTTATTTTGGGGCTCTTCTGGTTATTTTATTTAGGCTCTTCTGGTTATTTTATTTTGGGGAAATGTCTGCTACAAACATTGTAATACAAACATGATTACAGTGGATTATTCAAGTCAAATAATGAACACAAATATTTTAATATTACAAACAAAACATTATAAATTTAACATTAAATAATTATATTATTTTTTTATTTTTTTTATGACCTCCCGCGGCCCCCCTGCAGTACCCTCGCGGCCCACCAGGGGGCCGCGGACCCCACTTTGGGAGACACTGGTCTACATGAATAATACTGTATATGTCTCAGAGGGTGTCTTGTATTGTCTCATATTTGACTTGTATTTCTAATTTTTTATATCTCTGCTGTTGGTCCTAGTGAGTTTTAGGAGAAACATTTCTGGGACAAATGTGAGACAATGATGAGATTTTAGTGAGAATCACATTTGTGTTTCCTGAGCTTTCCTCTGGTCTAAGCTGTGGTTGTTTGTTTGGTATCTGCCCCAGAATGCAAAAACATATATTCCGATATAAAACTGCTTGGAAATTAAACTCTTGTATTTACCTTGAGTGAATCAGCAGTTTATTAAAGTCAGAAAAAAGGGAAACATTTTAACACCTGTGATTTCCAAGGGATATCCTTGACCCGCAGCAATGATAACACATTTTTATTTTTTGATAATTTTTTCCAAGCTTGTCCTTCCCTGAGTCAGTTAGACCCTTTTAGATCCTAATTTAGGAGAGTTTGCTTCTACTTTTAATTTCATTTTCATTTTGACCGGAGGATAGAACAGGATCCTGCAGGATTGTATCATGGATCTAGGATTGTATGCACCAAACGGACGCACAGCGCCATTCTGTGGACAAAAGTGTGTACTGCAGATCTTGGCTACTTATTTCAAATCAGACAAAAAGTAAATGTTTTGTGACAACAGCTGCTAAATAAAGATACTCATTAAGTCACTATTATAGCATTGGGTTAGAACCCCAGTGTATTACCACATTACTTATATATTTACATATTTCTTGCTGATGTCTTCTGTGTGTCTTCAGTGCGACGCAGGAGAACTGTGTGCCGTACGGAAAGGTGCTCGCATCGGTAAACTCTGTGGGTGCCCCGTCGGAACTCACTGTAACTTTAACGTCCTCAAGTGTCTGTAGCATCGTCCACAGCTCTGAAATAAAAGCATGTTTTTAAAAACCTTTCCACCATTCTTTACAAGTGTGTGTCGCAACAGTGTGTGAGACTGAGAAAGATTGTGTACAAAGAAGACCTACATAAAAAAAGAAAACATTTGTGTGTGTGTGGTGTGTGTGTGTTTTATGAACTATGTGATGATATAGTGGCTCAGAGTGTGACTATTTCCCCCAAAAAAATGCAGAATTAAGATACGTAGAGATGAAGAAGATGACATAGTCTGGGATCGCGTCTTTAATTCAGACAGAAGACATGTTTTATTGTCGATGGTAGAGACAGCACGATCAAAGCACACGATCACAGAAACAACAGAATGCAAGTGTATTATACAGAGCAGAGGCATGGAGACCTCCAATCAGCAGCTTCCACGGTGCCATGTAGCTTGGCCTTCAGATAGACAAAACATAAAGTGGAAAAGTACAGGCTTCTGCACATTGATAGAATGATGAGTTTAACTTTAACAAAAGTTGCTTCAAAGTGTTATGAAATCTCACATTCCCCCCTCTGGTCATACATTCACGTGTGACCATCAGGATCGATAAACAGCAACATAACATCATAACTCAATACTTCAAAAATTCATAAACTCGGTACTTCACTCGGTACTTCAAAAAACTCAGAACTCGGAATACTTCAAAAACTCATAAAACATGTTCAGATCTTTCATAAAACTCGTCAACAATCTTCAGTAAAATACCAAACTTCATCAGTCGATGGTGGTTCCAGATATTGCTTTGAAAACAGTCTCTCCCACTTCTCCGTGTTGGTTTCTTCAGGCTGCATTTGTTGTCGAGCCATAGTAGTGAATTCTTCTGTGACGTGTCTTTCAATCACACGTTTCAGCTTTAGTGTCCAGATTCAGCAATTCAATTCAGTCCAAATTATGTCCAAATTCAGAAATCCAGATTGTTCCAAATTATGTCCAAATTGTGTAATCCAATTTTTCCAAATGATGTCCATGAAAAAGAGGACGCTGGTATTGTCCATGTCTCAGCAGCTCACAGCCTGACTGGAATCAGGGGCTGTGCAGATAGTCCAAGTGTGCTGGTCCAGATGCATGGTTTCATTTGAGGTTTCTCAGTTTTGGCTTAAAAAAAAAAAAACACTTTTTGTGTAAAAAAAAAAAAGTAGTCTTCTGTTCACTAGATGTTACAGACAATGCCCGCATTCTCCACCACCTGAAGAAGATGACATAGTCTGGGATCGCGTCTTTAATTCAGACAGAAGACATGTTTTATTGTCGATGGTAGAGACAGCACGATCAAAGCACACGATCACAGAAACAAGAGAATGCAAGTGTATTATACAGAGCAGAGGCATGGAGACCTCCAATCAGCAGCTTCCACGGTGCCATGTAGCTTGGCCTTCAGATAGACAAAACAAGGGAAAAGTACTGGCTTCTGCACATTGATAGAATGATGAGTTTAACTTTAACAAAAGTTGCTTCAAAGTGTTATGAAATCTCACAGAGAAGAAAAACGTAGAGAATCATTAGTCATCATGATGCCCACTGACACATCTGCATCACTATAATGTGTGTCATTGATTTGCTTTTATAATTGATAACATTGAGGACCTTCCCCAGAGACGGACTGAGTAAGTGCCTGTTTAACATTTATGGTGTGATGTTTTTCCCTGATAACGTTAGTGGACGTCTGAATGCCGTTTGGAGACGTTCCCACCGTCACAGAGATGTTAATGTGGGAAAGTTTGGATTAAAATATCCCAAAGGGGAATGGGAAGAGATGACAGGGATTGGGATCTGAAAATTCCTGAGGCATATGATTATCACCTGAATTAATTCACTAGTGTTTGACAATAATTACAGCTGTGTCGAATAATCAAAAAACAACACACAAGATATATATATATATATATATATATATATATATATATATATATATATATATATATATATCTATACATATAACTAAATACATACAATCACCTTTTATCATTTCCCGAATATACTGGATGTGAGCAGCTATAACCACAGCCACTTGTCGCTAACCCATTCATTTAACCAGATCTTATCTTTCAATTAGAGCTGTCTCTCTGATGTGTTACAAAGCACTGACGCTGCATTGAAATGAGCTGTGTGTGTGTGTGTGTGTGTGTGGTGGGACAGGCCTCTGGGGACTTGCTCTTATCTCTCACCATCATAAGTGCTTTCATTCATTCATTCATTTACCCCTCTGTCTCGCCCCCGCCCCTTTCCCCAAATCACAGAGAATCACATTCACAGAATCACATCCACTAATTAGTTATAAATACATGATGAGCCCAGGGGAAACAGGGCTCTACTCTGTCCCAGTCTGGAGCAGGAGATACAGTGGAAGTCAGCCACCAATTGTGCAAGTTCTCCCACTTAAAAATGATGAGGGAGGATGTAATTTTCATCATAGATATGCCTCAACTATGAGAGACAGAATGAGAAAAAAAATCCAGAAAATCATATTGTCTTCAAATTCTGGTGGAAAATAAGTATTTGATCAATAACAAAAGTCAATCTTAACACTTTGTTGGCAATGACGGAGCTCAAACGTTTTCTGTAGGTCTTCACGTTTTCACACTGTTGCTGGTATTTTGGCCCATTCCTCCATGCAGATCACTTCTAGAGCAGTGATGTTATGGGGCTGTTGCTGGACAACATGGATTGCAACTCCCTCCAAATATTTTCTATGTGATTGAGATCTGGAGACTGGCTAGATAGTCTTTCTCCTCCAAACACAATGAATTAAGAGTTTACCAATAAGCTATATTTTGGTTTCATCCGACCACATTCTCCCGATCCTCTTCTGGATCATCCAAATGCTCTCTAGCAAACTTCAGACAGGCCAGAACATGTACTGGCTTAAGCAGGGGACACGTCTGACACTGCAGGATTTGAGTCCCTGACGGCGTCGTGTGGGACTGATGGAAGCCTTTGTTACTTTGGTCCCAGCTCTCTGCAGGTCACACTCTAGGCCCCTGTGTGGTTTTGGGATTTTGCTCACCGTTCTTGTGATCATTTTGACCCCACAGGATGAGATATTGCATGGAGCCACCTATACCTATGATGTATGCCTATGAGGATATTTTTATTATTATTATTATGATACCTCATTATTTAAGTGGGAGAACTTGCACAATTTGTGGCAGACTAAATACTTTTTTGCCCCACAGTATTTGATTATCAAGAACACCACAGTATTAAAGGTCCCTTATAATAATTTTTGAATGTTCTCTGTTTTGAACAAGATTAAAGAGACTCGTGCAGTGTATGGATGTATCTGAGCTCTTTCATGAATTGTAGTTGTCTAGTGTGTTGATTGCTGTGGTCAACATATTTATATTGAGCATGGTGACCAGCCAGAGGTTTGTTGAAATGAGAATAGATAAAACCAGGTCTGTTTTAAAGGGAAAATGCTGTGACATGGTTAAAAGCTCAAATCTTTCCTTTAATATGAGTTGGTTCTATTAAGCAACAGTGTCATTAAAATGTATTCCAGGGAGATTAAAATATATCTATGAACGCCTCAGTAAATGTGAGCCTTGTTCGTGACCCAGAACTCATAAAGAAGATGTTTGGCACCGGTGCTGGTGCTTGGGGAGCTCCCTGTGATTGGCTGAGATGGTTATCAGCTCCAGTACCATCGTCAACCGCCTCCTCTTGTCTCCTCACCACCAATTAATCAATATTCCCAACATTCCCACCCCGTACCTCAGTGTGGCAGCGATGGGAAGCGTCTGGGGAGCACGATCACAGGGATAGACATTTTCCAAGGTTATCTGGAAAAGAAATACATCAATGATTTTTTTACATTATCAGTGCAATGTTACTAATTACATTGTCTGCTTGGTAACTGTTTGCGTCACACTCACAATTTTAGACTAAAATCTGTGGTTTTCAGTGATCTTGGTGTTAATAATGTGATATGTCTTTGTAAATCAGATATGAGCCATACATTATAAAACTGACCAATCAAACGCCTTCATTTGCGGGGGAAACATCCTCAGAACAATGGTCCATGTAAGAAAATTGAAAATAGATAAGAAAATAAAATTGAAAATAAATAAGAAAATTGGCTCCAGCTTATGTTCAAATCAGCCTTTTCAGCATTAATAATAATAATTATGCATCAGTTTTATATAGCGCTTTTTTGGACACTCAAAGACGCTTTACATGCCATTATTCTTTCACTCCAAACACGGTGGTGATAAACTACTACTGTAGCCACAGCTGCCCTGGGGCACACTGACAGAAGCGAGGCAACCAGTATGCGCCATCGGCCCCTCCGACCACCACCAACACACCAGACTCATTCTAGGCAATGGAGGTAAAGTTCCTTGCCTAAGGACACAACGACAGTTCGGCACTTTACTGCCACAGCCGCCCCACTGTGGCAGGTGTTCCCAGAGGTTAAGTGTCTTGCCAAGGACACAACGACAGCAGACAGAACCCACGACCCTCTGGCTCAAAGGACAATGCCCTACCAACTGAGCTACTGTCGCCTAAATTAAGGTTACCGTGGTGATGTTACAGTCTCGGTCAGTCCAGTAGACCCGTTATAGAGACCAGTGTGCCCTTAAAACCTCGATGGATGGTGGGGCCAACATTTGTAGTTCGCTCTCATTGATTGTGAAATTGAAATCTATAATTGTTTCAGTCCAATCATAACACAAGCACTCATTTAAAAAACAACTCAAATTGTGTCCCAATTTGTCTTTATCTTTAAAGATTTGTCTTTAAAGTTGGGATACAAGAAAAGTAAAACGCTTGGTGTGACCTTGGACTAAACGATATAAACAATTTCTTACAGATTTATTCATTTTCAAACTACAAAACAATTTAACTTCCATCAAACTAGTTAAAAGTACTAGTTCTTGCTCTAAAAGTTTTTGGTTCTAGTGTTTTGGCCCCTGTCACATCTTTAGAACAACTTTTTCAGCCCAACGAGTCAAGTATTGACTCAAGTATACAAAAAATACTGTTTTCAAAATAGTTGGATAGTGTGTTGTGGTCAGATTTGTTGTTGTTGAAAGTATGTGTTTACTTTCTGGTAAGACACTGTACAAACCATTTGCTCCAGGCCGACCTCTGGGTTCGTGAGGCCGAGTTAAGGAGCCAGTTTCCCGGTGCGTGAGCTCGTGAGGAGTCGGTGGGTTTGGGTCGTGACCAGAAAAGGGGGGGTCACGCTGCACTCACCGCGGAAAACACGACGCCCTCAGCTGCCGGACGACACCAGGGAGAGGGGGGCGTGTGTGGGGGTCTGGTCTGGACACATGACAGCGGTGTTTGGAGGGGGGTAGCCCGGGGTTTTGATGGGGTTTTCCGGTCCCCTGGGAGTGCTGATGGCGTGGAGGGGGACGCGGTTGGAGGGTTTAAAAGCCGGGTCCGACCGAGACATATTAGACTCAAATCATGCTTCACAGAGACGCGCACTGTCTGGGCGACTTCAACAGGTAAAACTCCCATTATTACTTTGAATTTGTATAGTTTATTTATCGTTCTTTTTGGTAAATGCATGCTTCGTTCTTTATTTTTATTTATTTTTATTTAGACTTGTTGTGTATTCATTAACAGGGAATACACCAGATTGAAGCTAAATAATTTCTTGATATTTGTCCCTCTTGCATTATTTACTATAAGTTTAGTTGTTTTTATTAAAGCTGGGATACCCAATCTTGAACACACAACAAATGGAACTATGTAATAGAATTCCTACTAGTTTTATTTTTCTCAAACTAGTTTTCACTTGCACGCCTTTTCGGGCTCTGTCACACAACCCTCATTCAGCCAATCATCTCTCAGTAATTTGAAAAACAAACCCCATTATAGGTACCCCATTTTTAAGGATGAAGACCTCTCAGTCAATTAAATTTGATTCATATTATTGTTTACAGTCTGTGGCTCCATGTTTTGAATATCACATGCTTATTATTGACACCAGGATGTATTATTAGATTGATGTTATTAAAGGTGATTTGGTGACCTGCAAGTCATGTAATGTGCCAATAGGACACTGCTCTAACGATTTGAAGCATCTTTGTGTAAATTGATTAAATTAATGGAACAATATTTGGTTTTTGTCGATGCAGAAGTCCACATTCATCTGTCATGTTGAAATACAGACCCTCTCCCTACGTGACCAGCTCCTCCACTGGTGAGTGTCGCACTTAAATGCTAAATGTGTATTATTATTTAAATGAGCAGTTAAGAAAAGGGTGTAGTGAATTCTTCTCTCTCCTTAAATGTTTATGATGGGAGACCTCTGGGAATAGGTGCCACAGTGGGGTGGCTAAACTGAGGTTGTGTCCTTAGGCAAGACACTTCACCCACATTAGGGTCTGGAGTGTGTGCGTGTGTGTGTGTGTGAATGGTTGGTGGTGGTCAGAGGGGTCTATGGCACAGACTGATTGCCTCACTTCTATCAGTGTGTCGCAGGGCAGCTGTGGCTACCGTAGTAGTTTATCCCCCCCTTTTAATGCATCTCTCAGAATAGGGCCCTCTAAAACACATATGTTGTGGAGATGATGATGTTAATAAGAAAGCAACAAGATGGAATGCAGATTTTGTTTGTGCTTCTCATGTAATAATATGAAATGCAACGTGGAGCCCTGACCGTGTCGTCTGTCTCCTCAGAGTACGGAGGGAGAAGCCGTGGCGTCACTAACAGCCGTGAGCGTTGGCGGCAGCAGAACGTAAACGGCGCCTTCTCCGACCTGCGGCGCCTTGTCCCCACTTATCCCCCCGACAGGAAACTCAGCAAGAACGACATTCTCCGCCTCGCCATCAAGTACATACACTTCCTGGGAGGAGTGCTCAGGGACCAGGAGCAGGAGCAGAGCCAGGACCAGGACCAGGGGCTGGACCAAGTGATGGACCAGGAACAGGACAAAGGCTTGGAGCAAAGCCCAGATCACAGCCCAGACCAGGTAATTATCATGTATTTGTATATTTGATAGAAATAAGTGTATAATATATTATACATAAGTCTATATATTATGAATGTAATGGTTATTTTATCTTGAGCACTGATATGAGATTTGATCCAGATTTGGCTCCAGAAAAGTTTAAGGACATTCTAATCACCGGTTGGTTACTATAGCCGCTGACCAGACTCTCTGATCTGTGTTGGCGAATCGACAGCTTTGTAAAGTCCTCTGAGATAATTACTGTTGTGATTTGACATTAGTATATTTATCCATTGTGAGATCAAGAAAGTTTATTACAGGGCTATAAACAAATACATTGAATAGAATTGAGAAAGCAAGGTACCAGTGGGCGAGTGTTCAGAGGAGCCAAACGTTCAGGAATCTCTCTAAGATCAGTAAAATGGTGAAAAACATTTAATTCCTCATTAATAATATTGTTTCTCTCTCATCAGAGTTTCCAGGAGAACCTCCAGGAGAACCTCGAGGAGAACCAGGGCAGCTGCTACACACTGTCCCCCACTCTGAGCATTGACAGTGGGATCGACTGGAGCCCGCGGAGCCTCATGGAGGAGCTGGACTCTGTGGCCCTGAGTTTCTACTGAATCCAAACAAAAACATGTTTCGGTTTTCGTCCAGAGTAGGCTTTGTTTGAGAAGTCTGTCCTGACGAGAGAAACACAAAAGTAACTGCGTCGAAAAGCAGCTTTGTGAATCGGTACAAGGGGAAGCACCCTGAGTCACACGGAATAAGGATTTACTACAGTAATATTGTCCTCAAAGATTCAAAACACAGACATAAATGTGTTATTGAGAGGAGGTCCTGATACTAGCAGAGCGCTGCTTACAGTGTAAAGTTTTTATTATTTTAAGATAAGATTAGATACTCTTTTTTCTGTCTCACAGAGGAAACATTTGTCTTGGGACAGGAGTTCATGTGCTTTAAGCATGGTGTCTCTCTGCTCTCTCTCTTTGGTCTCTTTCTTTTCTCTCTCTCTGATCTCTTGCTGGTCCCTCCTTCTGCTCTTCTCTCTCTCTCTGCTCCCTCCCTGGTCTCTCTCTCTCTCTGATCTCTCGCTGGTCTCTCCCTCTGCTCTTTCTCTCTCTCTGCTCTCTCCCTGATCTTTCTCTCTGGTCTTTCTTGACTCTCTCTCTCTGGTCTCTTGCTGGTCTCTTCCTTTCTCTCTGGTCTTTCTTGTCTCTCTCTCTGATCTCTCGCTGGTCTCTCCCTCTGCTCTCGCTCTCTCTCTCTGCTCTCTCCCTGGTCTCTTTCTCTCTGCTCTTTCTTGTCTCTCGGGTCTCTCATTGGTCTCTCCCTCTTACATTCATGTGTTTTAATGGAAGTGATCCTTTATTTGTCCCACAGTGGGGAAATGTCAGTGTTGCATCACCAGTTACAGAACAGTAAAATGAGGAGCACACAGCACAAGATATTAAGTATAGCACAACTTTAGACTTAATATAAAATTATTACTCGCTCACTTAAGTTTGAGTTATTGATAACCCCTGTTCCGTGTGGCCTCTGTGCAGTCTGTACCGGTTTGTAGATTTAAATACAATAGATTTAGTCTTTGGTTTGTAAAGACTGTCTGTTGATGTGTTCAGTGTCAGTGGAGAGACTTGATATTCAACTCTCTCTCTCTGTGAAAGTGGTTAAAGTGTTTGATGTGTTTGTGGGACATATGTGTGTCCAAACTGTTCCTTTATTTTCAAAGGAACAGCTGCAGATGTTCATGTGTTGGACTGTTTTAAATCTGTGCCATGATCTGTGAAAGTCAATAAACATTTCTGCTTCTCAAATCTGTGAACTATGTATTTATTTTATTCGTTTTCATGACAGAGACATGGGAGCAGAATTAGCCCAGAATGCTATTTTCCATCTGCGAACACTGTCACTCTAAAGATAATAACATTAAAGGAGCAGTGTGTAAAAATCTGGCCAAGAGTGGTACTGCAACCTCTCCCACTCTCCCTGACTCAGGTTGCCAGATATGCAGGCGAATCCAGCAGGGACCATAAAATATGAATAGAGAAAAAGTTTTGTCAACAACAAATCTATAACAATCACCTTTTTCACAAAGATAGAAATCCTCGTTTTATTTCTTGTTTTGTCGTTAATGATTTGAGAATCACAACAAGACCTTTTTTAGTCCTGCGCCACATGTTACTTTAACAGTGAGATTTCCTTGACGCTGTGAGTTCTGTCAACTCGGATCACAGATTTTCTGATTGGTGAAACGGTGGAGGGGCGGGGCATCAACATGAAAACAATAACAAGATTTAGGGGCTGTAAAACTAATTTTCCAATTCAAATATCTCTGAACTATTGTTATCAGCTAAAGAAGTATTCGAAAAAATAACTTTTGACATATTTGGGCCATTTACTGCAACGATGACTTGACATGCAAATATAATAATATATAATATAATATATTAATATAATAATATATTAATATATTAATATATAGAATAATACAATGCATTAAAACACAATATAGGGGAAATAAAGAAAACACTTTAAACACAATAAAAACACAGTTAAAAGAATCAGAAAAGCACAGATAGACAGCAGCAGCAGTTCCAACAGAGACCTAGATTAATAGTTTGTTGTGTTATTAACCAGTTTTGAGATGCTTTTTAAACAGTAAGTTATTTCCATCAACAGGACTTGGCAGGTTTGCTCCAACTGGTCGAGATTTATCTATCCATCCTTTTTCTTCCCCTTAATCCAGTTCTGGGTTGGGGGATGGCAGTCAGAGCTGCACCCAGTTCACAGAGCACCAGATTTAGTAGATTTCCAAAGTCAGAATCAGAATCAGAATCATTTTTATTGCCACGTAAGCAACAAGAGGTCACAGACTTGGAAATTGCTTTGGCTCGGAGCAACAGTCAGAAAGAGAGAATAAAAAATAAAGAATAAAAAAACATTTCTAAGGAATAAATTTAAAATAAAAATTTAAAATAGAGTTACAATTACTATATACAAAATACAGTACACATGGTGCACACAATGTAAGGTGACAGCAGTACAGTGAGGTAAAGTGCTGTTTATATTGTATGTTTGAAATGTTTTAATGTGAATTGATCCTATGTAGCGTGGACCCCAGGAAATATCAAAGTCTTTGCATGGATTTGGTTCCTGTTTGCATTATGACTGACTGCTTCCTCACATTTGGATTTTTTTCCTATATTCAAACGTCTGCCACGAGCCTCTAACAAACAAATGAACAAATGACCAGTGTCTAAGGAACAGAGGCAGTAATATGTAATATATTGTTCAAATGTGAATTTATTATTGTGTCTGTGTGTGTGTGTGTGTGTGTGTGCACTTGTTTTCAACTCCTGGTGGGTTCCATAACCTGAGATTCCACTCACGTCATGGGGACTGGTTTTACGTGGTGGGGCCCGAACACCGGACCCCACTGGTCCAAGCTTAATAATCAATGGGTAATGCTTTTCTAACGGTCCTTATGCAGTCTCTGTAAAAATAAGGAAAGGACCCCTGGAGGTTTACTTTCCTGAAAAAAGTGTGTTATGTGTCGGAACCCTGGTGGTGGGTTGCGGGATATCAAGGAGGGGCACACTGGGGCAATTTCAGTCCAGCAGGCTGGAGCCAATCATGGAGCAGCACAACAGAGGAAATCAGGTGTCAGGCTAGAAAAAGGTGCAAGTGTGTGGTTCATTAGGCTGCAAGAAATCATGGAGGAGCACACTGAAGCGCACGCTTACAAACCACTGGTAAGTGCTGACTACAAGTCATGACTTCAAATTGTTATATAGAATGATTACAAATTATTTGTTGTTTGTGCAGCTTAGTCAAGAGTCCCTAATTGATGAAGTCGACTCAGATTCTGACGATTTAACTGTCAAGAAGAAAACCTGTAAAAAAGTATGGAAAAAGAAAAATCAAAAACACTTTTCTTCAAGACTCGCAAAGTGACGAACCAAAGGCAAATAAGATTGTTATCATGCAGCTGCAAAAGAAGAAAAATGGGGGGCGAGTATACAGCAAGAGACACTTCTGCCTCTACTGTTCAATGTCCTGCCACAAAATGTCCCGTCATTTGACTAGAAAACATGGAAATGAAAGTGACGTAGCCAGAGCATTGGCTCTACCTGTGAAATCTAAAGCACGTAAACTTCAGTTTGATTTGATCAGGAATAGTGGAAACCGTGAGCACAATTTTGAGGTTTTAAAGGCCGGCATTGGAACTTTAGTCCCAGCTAAACAGCCAAATTGCCCAGTTAAATCCAGTGAGTTTTTGCACTGTATAGACTGTGGGGCATTGCTTAAGCGAAAGTCGCTGTGGAGGCATGTGGCCAGGTGCCGGCTTTCACAGAAAGATGCCCAGGCTAAACCAGGTAGAAGTAGGGTCCAGTCCCTCTGCTCCCTAGCCCAGCCTGTACCGGAGGGCATCAGCAAAAAGCTGTGGTCTTTAATTTCGGCAATGCATCAGGATGAGGTCACGGGTGTTGTCAAAGCAGAAAAGGGGATTCTGAGACTCGGAGAGCACCTGTACTTAAAACACGGGCATGATAAGACAAAGCATGATTACATTAGGCAGAAAATGAGAGAAGTCGGTAGGTTAATTAACGAAGCAAAAACCGCAGGGAAACTGAAAACAATTAAGGATTTCTTTATTCCTTCCAACTTTAACCATGTGATTGATGCAGTCAGGTCTGTGGCTGGATATGATGAAGGAAACAAATCAATACAAGACTCCATCCTTGGCCCTCAAACTCGGCCATAGCCTCAGAAAGCTAGCAGATATTCTTGAATGTGACTCAAAAATGGAGCATTGTGTTGATGAACTATTTATTAAAAACCTCCAACGAAGCCGGCTGCTTTTTGAGAAGAGGTGGGACGTCTGTGTTTCTTCTGCTGCCCTACAGACCCTCCGGCAAGCCAAGTGGAACACTCCGGACCTGCTCCCTCTGACTGAGGACGTTAGAGCCATGCATGCACATATTGAGGTATGTCGACCTGAATATGTGCAAACCCTAATAAGTGAGCCAACGTCTAAGCATTGGTCTAAACTGGCAGTTTTGACTCTTTGTGAGGTCATCATTTTCAATCGAAGAAGGGAAGGTGAGGTTTCAAAGATGCCACTGACAGCCTTTACCTTAAGAAGTAAGACTGGGATCCATTCTGACATTGCTCTGGGACTGTCCCAACTTGAGAAAAAGCTGTGTCAGCATTTTCAACGCATTGAAATTAAAGGGAAAAGAAGTCGGAAAGTGCCGGTTCTTTTGACTCCTGAAATGATTGCTTCGATGGAGGTGCTGGTGGAGAACAGAAGGGCCTGTTCCATCTCTGACCATAACCCATACTTCTTTTCCCGCCCGGGCGCAGACACCCACATCAGGGGATCAGACTCCCTACGCCAGGTAGCCAAAGAATGTGGTGCGGTGCATCCAGAGATGCTATCCTCAACCAAACTTAGAAAGCACATAGCTACTATGTCTACAGTTCTCAATATGAAAGAGAATGAGATGGACATACTTGCCAACTTCCTCGGCCATGACATTCGCATCCACAGGCAATATTACAGACTACCAGAGGGGACACTGGAGCTGGCCAAAATCAGCAAAGTGTTGATGGCCAT